TAGCTCACCAGTACGTGCTCCTTCTCCTTTCACTGATGAGACAGGGGGTTTTACTGAGCGTCGAGAGCCTGCGTCGCGTCCTGTCTCGCCTGTCCGTTGTTGTTCCGGTCGTCGTGTTCCTCTGCCGTCTCCTCCTGCGTCTTTTCTGCCTGTCGTTGCACACCCTGAGTCTGACCGGTTTCGTGCTGAGCTCCCTACTGTCACACGTGTGCTAGCCACTGTTGTCACTGACCCGTCATTTGAGTCTGCTGCTGCGTCTGCCTTTGTCGCTGAGCTGGTTGACTTTGCTACTGCCTGTCGTCTAGACTACGGTGCTAGTCTTGTTGCTGAGTCAGAGTCTGTCTGTCCTCCGTCCATCGGAGGTGAGTGTGCTCTTAGCACGGACGTCCTTGAGGACAAACAGGAGGACCTTGAGTGTCTTGCGGCCGCTGCGCCTCATCTTGTGGCCATGCTGCTTGCCCCTAAGGGAAACCCGGATGCACCAGACATCCCGACCCCGCGCTCTTACGCTGAGGCGATCGCGGGTGAGTACTCCTCTCAGTGGCAGACAGCCATGGACACAGAGATGGCATCCTGGAAGTCCACAGGCACCTAAACCTCCTCTTGGGGCAAACATCGTCGACGGCATGTGGATTTTCAGGTTGAAGCGACCGCCAGGTTCTCCGCCTGTCTTCAAGGCTCGTTACGTTGCTTGAGGCTTCACTCAGCGGGAGGGAGTTGACTTCTTCCAGACTTATTCCCCCACCCCGAAGATGACCACTCTTTGGGTGCTGCTGCATGTTGCCGCTCACCGTGACTACGAGCTTCACTCGCTTGACTTCAGCACAACTTTCTTACAGGGCAACTAACACAAAGGAGATCTGACTACGCCGCCGACCTGACTTCACTGGGTCGTTCCCTCCTGGTACCTAGTGGAGCCTCCGACGCCCGGTCTACGGTCTCCGCCAGGTGCCACGTGACTGGCACGACACACTTAGGACGACACTTGCGCTCTTGGGTTTGCTTCTTTGACTACTGACCCGTCGCTGTTTCTGCGCGCCGACACTTCGCTGCCACCGTTCTACATCATCGTGTACGTTGACGACTTGGTCTTTGCCACTGCTGACACTGAGGCTCTCGCCCTGGTGAAGTCAGAGCTGCAGAAGAGACACACGTGCACAGACCTGGGTGAGGTGCGTAGTTACCTGGGCTTGCAGATCACCCGAGATAGAGCACGCCGCACCATCACACTGACTCAGTCACACATGGTGCAGCAGGTCCTTCAGCGCTTTGGCTTCACCTGGTCCTCGGCACAGGCCACTCCTCTAGCTACAGGTCACTCGCTCTCAGCTCCACCTTCGTACGAGTCCGTAGAGCCTAGTGGTCCTTACCCAGAGCTAGTTGGCTGCCTCATGTACCTGATGACCTGCACTCGTCCTGACCTCGCGTACCCTCTTGGCCTTCCAGCTCGCTACGTGGCTCTTGGTCGGCACCAAAAGGTGCACATGGATGCTGCTAAGAGGGTACTGTGCCTTGTGCAGTACATCGGGCATGGGGCTCGTGCTTGGAGGACGGGGCGACGTTGTCCTCAGTGGTCACTCGGACGCTTCTTGGGTTGATGACCAGGCTACGCAGCGGTCGTCACAGGGTTACACCTTTAGTCTTGGCTCTGGCTCTGTTTCTTGGCGGTCTACGCGCTCGTCTTCTGTTTTTGGCTCCAGTTGTGAGGCTGAGATCTACGCCGCAGCCATGGCTGCACAGGAGTTATGCTGGCTCACCTACCTGCTGACCGACTTGGGAGAGAGGCCTCGTTCTCCTCCATTTCTGTACGTCGACAACAAGGCAGCCATTGCCTTGTGTCAGGAGCATAGACTGGAGCACAGAACGAAGCACATCGCTCTGCGTTACTTCCTGGCTCGAGAGTTGCAGCAGCGCGGTCACCTTCGTCTTGCTCACGTGGCCACTCGAGCCAACACTGCTGATATATTCACCAAGGCACTTCCGTCTGGTGATCATCAGAGCTTTTGTAATTTGTTGAGCCTTTTGCCTACGTTTCCACACTTGTAGACTCTGCTTGTACTGTGCTCTATTAATATATATCTGCATGCTTGCTCTTGCTAGGTAGAGATCACTGTACTGTTCTTGTTGCATATATACCTCTGCATGTGAACTGGCCTTGTGGCCCGTTGCTTGTGCTTAGTGTGTGTGGTGACGTTGTGATCCACCCTGAGCTCGCTTTGCTTTTCTTGACTGGTCTTGTGACCTCTTGCTCTCCCCCACTTTGCCTATGGGGGTGTGTCAAACATATGCATATGTTATATTTGTTGGTAGGCTATAGTAGGGTAGATAATGTGGGGTATAACCCCTTAGGCTTTCTTCTCCTTATACCAATTCTCTCGATGATCAACTCATTCATGCCTAAGTCTCTAGAGCAGTAGGTTTGGCGTTCCTAGGCCACTTAGTCTCTGCCGTTCCTAGACTTCGACCGTCACTAGCCTTAGCGTGAACCCCCCCTGCCCCGTCTACTCGAAGCACGCTAGCCAGCAGGCCCGCTAGTGCCCTAGCTAGCAGGCCCGCTAGCGCCTTAGCCAGCAGGCCCGCCTACGCCCTAGCTAGCAAGCCCGCCAGCACCTTAGCCAGCAGGCCCGCCAGCGACCTAGCCAGTAGGCCCGCCAGCGCCTTAGCTAGCAGGCTCGCCAGCGCCCTAGCCAGCAGGCCCGCCAGCGCCCTAGCCATCAGGCCCGCCAGCGCCCTAGCCAGCAGCCCAGCCAGTGCGCACGCCAGCGCGCCCCGCCAGTGCGCACGCCATCGCTGTCAGAATGAACAAGTGTGTGTGAAATAGAAAAGTGGTGGGTACAAGTAGGAAAACCTAAACTTACTGTACCCCATAGTAACTACCCCACTACAGCCTAAACAAACAGTAGAGTACAAGTTTGACACACCCCCATTGGCAAAGTGGGGAGAGCAAAGTGGGGTCAAAAGACCAGTCTGAAAAGCAGAGCAAGCTCAGGGTGGATCCCAATGTCACCACACATTCCGAGCGCAAGCAGACGGCCATAAGGCCAGTTCACATGCATAGTTATATAGCATAGAACAAACAGGACAGTGAACAAAACCTAGCAAGTGAAAGCATGCAGGTATAGATATATAGATCACAATACAAGCAAAGTCAAGAAGTAAGCAAGTGAGGCAAGGAAGGTACAAGAGCGCTGATGATCACAAGGCTAAAGTGCCTTGGTAAAGATGTCAGCAGTGTTGGCCCGAGTGGCCACGCAAGCAAGACGAAGCTGACCACGCTGCTGCAACTCTCGAGCAAAGAAGTAGCGCAGAGCAATGTGCTTCGTTCTGTGCTCCATTCTGTGCTCCTCACACAAGGCCAGCATGGCCTTGTTGTCGACGTACAGAACTGGAGGAGAACGAGGCACCTCTCCCAAGTTGGTCAGCAGGTAGGTGAGCCAGCGTAACTCCTATGCAGCCATGGCCCCTGCGTAGATCTCAGCCTCACGGCTGGAGCTGAGAACAGAAGAAGAGCGGGTAGACTGCCACAAAACAGAGCCGGAACCAAGGCTGAAGGTGTAACCCTGTGACGACCGCTGCGTAGCCAAGTCGTCAGCCCAAGAAGCGTCTGCGTAACTAGTGAGGACAACTCGAGCCCGTCCTCCAAGCACTAGCCCCATGCCCGACGTACTGCACACGTAGTCCAACACCCTCTTCGCTGCAGCCATGTGCTCTGGTCGGTGTCTCCCAGGAGCAACATAGCGTGCCAAGATGCTAAGAGGGCATGCCAAGTGTTGGATGCACGTCATTCTGAGTGCATGTCATCCTAACGTCCTGCCGAGTGCTCGTGCTATTTGTGCTTCCATGATTTGCATAAGCGTATGTCATTGTGCATGGCCATTGGATATTATCATCTCTGTGTTTTTCTCCAAGTCTAAATGCTTGATCATGCAGGAGAAATCCAGAGCTTTCCAACGACACAAAGATCGCCTTATTCCGACCAAGATCGCCCAAGTTACAAGATTTCCAAGATTTGTATTTCTTATAATCTTTTGGGGTTATATCTAATTAGGGTGATTACTTGGGACATGACTATAAAGGGATCTTTGGTTGGGTGGTTAGGAAGCCAACTTTGACTTTTGGATTGGGGTGGCTAGAAGTTTCTAGCATGGGTTGCAAATGTTGCAACACCTAGGCAAAATCCAACTAGATTGGATTTTGCATGTGACACCTCAAGGACCTCATGATGAGGGTTGCATCCTTGCTGCTAGGAAGGTTCCTACCATCCTTCCCTAGCTCTTGGAGAACCCCTTCTCTCTCATGGTTCTCTTGGAGTCCCCAACTCCAACTTTCTATGCCTTAATGCTTGTACTTCCTCTACCATACTAGTCATGCGGCTGCTGGACGTTTTTACTTGGTTCTCACTCTATAGACCATCTTAACGACTGATTCAACTTGGAAATGGTACCTAAGCCTAAGGCGCAACTTTCTACCGAGCGGATTTGCGTTTAGTTGAGTAATGCGTTCGTCGTAAGCTCTCAAAGTGACGGATCCTGAACAACAATTGGTATCAGAGCGGGTAGTCGACTTTGAGACGACAAATCGTCGTTTCTCAACCAATGTTGTCGAGTCAGACCATTTTCTAATAGCTCGGCTTGCGAACTTTCGATTGGTGGTCGAATCGCGTTTTGATTCGAAGTATCTAGTCCGCGACGGTGATTTTTGTAGAATCAAAATTTATGGCAGAATTCTCTCCAAACGATTTCTCAAGTTTCCACCGTTCATAAGGCCTCAATATGGTTGGTATGAACTCCGGAGGTGCTAGTGGCGAGATGGATAGAATTAGAGAGGCTCGATAGCAGGGGGGAGTTGCTGGTGGAGGAGTGGGGACTCACCAACCAGCCAACCCTACACTACCTACTTCTTCTACACCATCTCCTACTACCGTGGATCCTGTGAAAGCTTTCTCTATTGAGAAATTCATGGGGGGGGACTACGAGCACTGGAGTTTCCGCATGAGGCTGATGTATACCCAATACAAGCTATTGGATTTGGTGGAGGGAAAGGAGAAGATGCCGGAGGCCGCGGAGCTGAAAGGAGCGTGGATGAAGCGATCGTTCGACACGTACATGCTCATGGTGCAAGCGGTGGGCGGACGGCAACTTGACTACATCAAGGTCCTCTTGGGTGAGCCAGAGTGTGGCCCCAAGGCTTGGAGGAAGCTTCTGGATGTGCACTCTCCGACACATGCTACCGGCATCGTGCTACTCGCGCGGCGGCTGCGCGACATCAAGTTCGTTGATGGAGAGCCGATGCAACCGGTGTTGGATGAGATGCGGGACATCTTCACGAAGCTACAAGGCGGCGGTGTGGTGTACCCGGAGCTCGTGCAATGCGTGGAGATCGTGATACGGCTGCTGGAGTCGTGGTCTGCCCTTGCGATCAACCTCAACTCCCAACAACCCCAATGGAGCGTGGATTACATTCGCGCGCGCATCGTAGAGGAGGACCTGCAGCGGCAGAGTGTGGAACGCTCGGAGGAGGGGGCTGGCTATGGAGTTGGAGGTGGAAAGAGTGGCTTCAAGAAGAAGTGGAAGAGCAAGAACAAGGATAACCCTAAGGAGGATGGCGGCGGGGGTCAAGGGGAGGTGTGCTTCTACTTCAAGAAGCGCGGACATCGTTGGCGGAAGTGCTACCAACGACCCAAGGATTGGACCCCGCCTTCATCAAGCAACCAGCGTGGTGGCACGAGGAGTGGGGGAGTCATGGGAGCTAGTGGAGAGGAGAAGGATGAGGAGAAAGGCGGCAAATCTGAGGAGCGGAAGGCCGGGTTCTTCTTCTTCGTGAACGAAGGCGCAACCGACCACGCTATGGCTGCCAAGGTTCTCCTACACCCCCTCACCCATTGGGTGATTGACTCCGGGAGCTCTTGGCACATGACTCCTCATGCGGACCTACTTGATGAGATTCAGCCCGCACCCATCTCTACAATCACATCCGCGACGGGCGCCAAGGCCAAGGTCATGGGCATGGGATACGCCAAGTTCATGGGAGCGGATGGAGAGCTCGTGGGGCTGAAGAATGTGCTGTGGGTGCCAGACTTGTGTGCGAACCTGATTTCTACCGGCCGGTTGGGAGATGCGGGTGTGAACACCGAGACGATTGGCTCGGAGCGCTATCGTGCCTACAACGATGAGCGGCTGATTTGGGACCTGCAGTGGAAAGGGGATGTCCACAAGCGGATGTGGCAGATCCCGGTCCTCCCTTGGCGGAAATCGGGCAAGGCGGCAACGGCGGCATCTATGGAGGAGAGTTTCACCGAGGAGGAGCAACAAGGTGTGCAAGGAGAGGAGCTGATTGGAGGAAGCGCGGCGGTGAAGGCGTCGGCTACCTTGGGCCAAGCGGATTGGGAGACTTGGTATCGGCGACTCGCACACGTGGCTGTTTCTACATTGGAGGTGATGCACAAGGAGAAGTGCGTGCATGGGCTGCAACTGCAAGGAGATGGCACTCACTATGGCAGCTGCGAGGCGTGCATGCAAAACAAGTTTGCGCGGTTCCCGTTCCCACGAGCGGAGGGATCAGCAAAGGCACCATTGTAGGTGGTGCACATGGACCTGGTGGGTCCTATGAGGACTGAGGGGACTGGGGGAGTGCTGTACTTCCTTACCATGGTGGACGAATGGAGCCGTTTCACGTGGGCGCGTCCCTTGTCCAAGAAGAGCGATGCTGCAGCGGCGATCAAGGAGGATTGGTTGCCGATGGTGGAGCGGCAAGCGATGCGGCTGGTGAAGGTGCTGAGGAGCGACCAAGGTGGAGAGTTCCTTGGAGCGGAATTGACCAAGTTCCTCAAGAGAAATGGCATCCGACATCAGCTGACCTGCCCTGGAACACCGCAGCAGAACGGCATTGCTGAGCGTGCCAACCGGACCATTGGCCAGGCGGCTAAGACCTTGTTGGGGGCTGCTGGGATGCCTTACAAGTTCTGGCCTGAAGCTGTTCGCCATGTCATCACGGTCAAGAACAGGGTCTTGACGCATGTTGGCTTGGGAAGAAGCCATCTATTGACATGTTGCGTGTGTGGGGCTGCATGGGGCTTGTGATGGTGCCTAAGGAGCAGAGGCACAAGCTGGAAGTTGCTGCTGTGTGGGCTGTCCATCTTGGGATGGCTCCTGACTCGAAGGGGTGGCTGATGTGGGACCCCAAGAGCAAGAGGACGCTGGTCAGCCGTGACGTCAAGTTTGTGGAGGACGTCATGTACAAGGACTGGCAGCAGCAGCAGCAGCAGGTGCAGATTGGCTTGCTTCTGTAGGAAATTGAGCGGTCTGCAGTGGAGGAGGTTCAGCTGCACCTTGATGAAATCCACGGGTCAGAGCTGACCAGTGACCACAGTGGCGGTGGTGAGCAGCAAGTTTCTGGTCCTGCTGGAGAGGAGGGGTTGGAGGATGAGTCGGCACGTGTGGACTCACCATCTCAGCCCGAGCCTGCTGCAAACGCCAAGGTCACCAAGAGGAGTGTGCAGAAAGGAGCTTCACCACATGGGCAGCAGATTGCAACCCGCGAGAAAAGAGTGGCACCAGCACCCTCAAGGCTGAAGTATAGCCGTTTGGGAGGACCCAAGCAAGGTGCCATGGCGGTTCAGGCGGATGAGGGAGAGGATGAGGAGATGGCGTTCTGTTTCTTCACACCCTTGCCTGGAGAACCAGCCACAGTGGAGGAGGCACTCAGTGGACCCCAGAAGGAGGAGTGGAAGGCTGTCATGGATGCGGAGTTCAACAGTCTCATTGAGAATGGGACTTGGGAGCTTGTTGAGTTACCCGAGGGGCGACGGCCGATCAGCAGCAAGTGGGTCTTCAAGGTGAAGAGTGGAGCTGATGGTGCGTTGGAGCGGTTCAAGAGCCGCTTGGTCGCCAAGGGGTTTCAGCAAAAGGAGAAGGTCGACTTTGGGGAGATCTTCGCTCCCGTTGCTAAGCCAGTGACATTGAGGACTTTGATGGCTGGCGCAGCTGTGAAGGGATGGCACGTGAAGCAGATGGATATCACCACTGCGTTCCTCAATGGAATACTGCTGGAGGATATCTACATGGCGCAGCCCGACGGCTATGAGGATGGGACCAGCCGGGTGTGCAAGTTTAAAAAGGCCATCTATGGCCTTAAGCAAGCGCCCAGGTGTTGGTACGAGAAGCTGGAGGAGGTGCTGCTGGGTGGAGGCTTCAAGACGTCCAAGGCGGATCACAGCTTGTTTCTGCTTGGAGAGGGGGAGCAGCTGCTTTTGCTGCTGGTGTATGTCGATGACATACTGCTGTTCTCACCTTCCATGGAGCAGATTGAGAGGACACAGAAGCAGCTGATGGACAACTTCAAGTGCAAGATGCTGGGGGATGTCCACTACTACTTGGGGCTGCAGATTGAGAGGGATGTTGAGAGGAGGTGGCTGAAGGTGCATCAGTCACACTGCATCTCTGGTGTCATGGAGCGGTATGGTGTGACTGGGGGTCGCACCGTGATGACACCGATCCCTGCGGGATTCAAACTGAAGAAGGCAGCTGAGGAGGATGATGTGCTTGAGAATGAGCAACAGAATGAGTACCAGTCACTCATTGGGAGTGTGATGTATGAAGCTGTGCATACGCGACCCGATGCTTCGTTCGGAGTGGGGCAACTGGCTAGAGTTGTGCAACGGCCCACTGTGGAGCAGTTGGAGGTGGCAAAGCGCTTGGTGCGCTACCTTGGATCAACGACATCTGCTGGTGTTCAGTTTTCAGCTGGCGGCCAGCTGAAACAGATTGGAGCAGATGGGGTCACGCCTGGTACCTTGAAGCTGTCGTGCTTCACCGACGCCACATGGGCCTCAGAGGATGAGGATCAGTCATCGGTTGGCGGCTTTGTGTGCATGGTCCAAGAAGCAGAGTGAGATTGCTCAGTCTTCCGGAGAGGCAGAGTACATGGCCATGTACCATGCCATCAAGGAGATCGTGCTCCTGAGGAAGCTGCTGGAGGACATGGGAGCTGAACAGGAGGGACCTACACCACTTTTCTCCGACAGCGAGGCTGCTATTGGCATGGCCAATAATCCTATCCTGAATGGGTTGAACAAGCACGTGAAGATTAAGTGGCACTGGGTGAGGCAGATGGTGAAGGAGGGAGTGTCAGAACATTATAGCTTATGCTATTGTGTAGGCTATAGTGGGGTATCCCATAGGGGGTACAACCCAACTAGGGTTTCATATTTGTACTCGCTTCATTCATAGTTCACCTCATTCTCGTTCTAATTTTCTCATGGTATCAGAGCAGGTTCCCCCTTGGGAACTGTGCTTAGGGCCCACCACATCGAGTTTTTTTTCCTGCCCAAAGCGCGCTCAGCCCGAGTCGCGCTCCGGGCCCTCACTTTGCCGAGCCGCCCTAGCGGCCCTTCACTGCGGCCCCGCCGCCTGTCTCAGCGGCCTCGCCGCCCTTTTCTGCGGCCCCGCCGCCTCTCTCGTTGCGGCCCCGCCGCCCTTCACGGCGGCCCCGCCACCCGTCTCAGCGGCCCCGCCGCCCGTCTTCGCGGCCCCGCCGCCTCTCTCGCTGCGGCCCCGCCGCCTCTCACTGCGGCCCCGCCGCCCGTCTCAGCGGCCCCGCCGCCCGTCTTCGCGGCCCCGCCGCCTCTCTCACTGCGGCCCCGCCGCCTCTCACTTCGGCCCCGCCGCCCGTCTCTGCGGCCCCGCCGCCCGTCTCCGCGGCCCCGCCGCCTCTCCCTGCGGCCCTGCTGCCCGTCTCAGCGGCCCCGCCGCCCGTCTTCGCGGGCCCGCCGCCTCTCTCGCTGCGGCCCCGCCGCCTCTCACTGCGGCCCCGCCGCCCGTCTTCGCGGCCCCGCCGCCTCTCACTTCGGCCCCGCCGCCCGTCTCTGCGGCCCCGCCGCCCGTCTCCGCGGCCCCGCCGCCTCTCTAGCTGCGGCCCCGCCGCCTCTCACTGCGGCCCCGCCGCCCGTCTCTGCGGCCCCGCCGCCCCTCTTGCTCCGGCCCCGAGCCCTACCAGCGGCCCTACGGCCCTACACCGCCCGCGCCACCCGAGCTGCCCGACCCGCACGAGCCGCCCGAGCCGCCCGAGCTGCCCGACCTGCCCGAGCCGCCCGAGCCGCCTGAGCTGCTGAGGAGCCGAGCCGCCCGACCCGCCCAAGCCGCCCGAGCCGCCCGAGTTGCCCGAGCCCCCTGAGCCGCTGAGGAGCCGAGCCGCCCGACCCGCCCGAGCCGCCCGAGTCGCCTGAGCCGCTGTGGAGCCGAGCCGCCCGAGCCGCCCGAACCGCAGTTGTTGCTGAGCCGTCCGAGCAGCCGCGTTGCTGTGCTGCTGAGCTGCCCGACCCGCCCTGTCTGGTGAGAGCACCGCTCCTGTCACTGCACTGCCCCTGTCCTACAGGTAGTACTGCTAGGCTACTGTCGTCATGGCTACCCCTAGTGTCCTCGCTTTTGACGCTGAGGGTCGGGCCATTGACTTTGAGGTCTGGGTAGACGACCTGCAGCTGTTCTTACAGTGCGATAGGGCAGACGGCCTCTCTCTCTTTGACCTTACCTCTGGCGCCTCCCCTGCCCCTGCTGCTGATGCTGACGCCACTGTTCGCTCCCAGTGGGCCACGCGCGACGCTGCTGCACGTCTTGCTGTGCGTCGCCACCTCCCTACCTCCGAGCGTGCGCACTTTAGTCAGTACAAGACTGCTCAGACCTTGTACGACGCTGTAGTTGCGCGCTACTCCTCCCCTACCACTGCTGCACTGAGCCGTCTCATGCTACCGTACCTCTTCCCTGACCTTGCTGCCATTCCCACCGTGGCTGACCTCATTACGCACCTCCGCACTAGTGACACTCGCTACCGCGCTGCACTCCCTGCTGACTTCTGCGCCAAGAACCCCCCCCCCCATGTACATCACTCTGTACTTCCTAGTCATTCGCCTTCCTGACTCCCTTCGAGTAGTCACGGACCACTTTCTCTCAGTCTGTCCCACCACACTCACTATCGATCTCCTTGAGAAGGCCCCCTTAGCAGCGGAGAAGAGTATAGTCGCTGTAGGAGCCTCTCGAGGTGACCCGCGCACCCCCATCTTTGAGGGGTGTTCCCCCTCCCCCCTGCTGCCCTCTGTTGCC